TTATCAGTCCACTCAGGCTTTAGCAGAGCTCAGTAACACTGAGATTAATAACTGATCACATTGATTTATCAGTCTACTCAGGCTTTAGCAGAGCTCAGTAACACTGAGATTAATAACTGATCACATTGATTTATCAGTCTACTCAGGCTTTAGCAGAGCTCAGTAACACAGATTAATAACTGATCACATTGATTTATCAGTCTACTCAGGCTTTAGCAGAGCTCAGTAACGCTGAGATTAATAACTGATCACATTGATTTATCAGTCCACTCAGGCTTTAGCAGAGCTCAGTAACGCTGAGATTAATAACTGATCACATTGATTTATCAGTCCACTCAGGCTTTAGCAGAGCTCAGTAACACTGAGATTAATAACTGATCACATTGATTTATCAGTCTACTCAGGCTTTAGCAGAGCTCAGTAACACTGAGATTAATAACTGATCACATTGATTTATCAGTCTACTCAGACTTTAGCAGAGCTCAGTAACACTGAGATTAATAACTGATCACATTGATTTATCAGTCTACTCAGGCTTTAGCAGAGCTCAGTAACACAGATTAATAACTGATTAACATTGATTTATCAGTCTACTCAGGCTTTAGCAGAGCTCAGTAACACAGATTAATAACTGATCATCACATTGATCTATCAGTCCACTCAGGCTTTAGCAGAGCTCAGTAACACAGATTAATAACTGATTATTACATTGATTTATCAGTCTACTCAGGCTTTAGCAGGAACTTCAGTGTTTATATAGAAGCCACTTTTAAAAGTTCTTCTTTAGAGTATGTCTTTACATGCTGTGGGCTGGTTTTAAAATGCACAATAAATAACCATTGATCGTGTTTCTTTTAAAGATGGTGTACATTTTAGAGTAAAGTTTCAGAGGCATTATTGTTGTATTTGTTGTGACAAAATGTTAAGTCATTCATTTTAAACAAAAAAAAAAATAAAGTATAAAAGTAGAGGATCACTAAAAGCAATAAGCCTAAATTCGAAATCATGTGTTTGAACTCTGACTTTGAACCAATTCAGTAGAACGATCCACACAGACATTTATGGAGGCTTTTTTCAACGTATCGTTTGTCGTGACACCTGCTGAGGAGAAATGATATCAAAATGGACAAAAACAACGTATGACAACTTTTTGTTGTCTTTTGTCTCGCAGCAGGTTTCTTGAATTCTGATGACTCATTAACTTTACAGATTTTATATTATTGGAAAGATGTTGTCATAGTCTGTCTTGATTAGCCATAATCGGACAGCATATTCTATATTATATACAGTTCTGAGATTCATAACCTTGCCAGTGCAGAGCACAACTTTGTAAAGTTTGTGCACAGTCTGCCATGGTAATGGAGAGAAACCGGCCTACTTTGAATAAGTGATTCAATTTAATAGGTGTTACCATGTAAATGTATGCTAATATATGCGTGGGTGGTATGCAGATGTTAGGCACATCAGTGTTGGAAGGGCAGAGGGAGGTGATTCCTGTTCTCTGTTCATTTGTCATCATCAGTGTATCACAAGCCGGCCAGGGAGTTATCCCTGCAACCCTGTGCTCTATGGGTGGAGCAGGGGATTATGGGTAAGACGTATGACGTGTTGGAGAATCAGTCAGGCTTAGTGTTGTAATTCCGTCTTGGTTGAATAATTGCAGTGTATGCCTAACAGTGAAAACAAGGGAAGGATATCTAATCACTAATTGTTTTAAGTCTGTTCCAAGGGTGATATGATTGTACCAGAGAATAATGCTGCATGGAAATGTCAAGGGACATGCTGCCATTGGTGATGTTATTTTCATAGTGAAAGTGTATTTACATGAATACTGGAACATTGTGCTGACTCATTCTTTTTAATTTCTGATTAGTTATCATCATTAGTCATGTGCAGCTAGTGCACGTACATGTAGGATGCAGAATATCAAAAAGCTTGTGTAATTACTGGAATATATCATGCTTTGTTCAGTGTTAGTACTGCTGTTTTAGTGTGTTAGTTTCCTTGCGCCTCTTCATAGCTCTTGTCTGTCCTTGCTTTTTTCTTTTTTATTCTTACCCAGCTTTCTCCCCAGTTTAGTCAGGGCCAGTTCCTACCTGCTAGCTGGGAGGGTGAAGGCTAGCACATGCTAATCTGTCCCACAGTCGTGGGGCAGTCGTGGGCTGGAGGTTAGGGAACCAGCCTTGTGACCTTGAGCAAGACACTTAACCCCCAACTGCTCCCCGGGCGATAGCCGTGGATACGGCTGTCCACCGCTCTGGGTAAGTGTGCTCACTGCCCCCTAGTGTGTGTGTTCACTAGTGTGTATGTGTTGTTTCACTGCACGGATGGGTTAATTGTGGAGGTCTAATTCTGATGTGTTCAGACACAGATCAGGGTTCAGGTTCAAAGATACAATACATATTAGCGATTCGAACTTTGGCGAATTCTTTTGATTCTTATGATTAATAACAGACCTTTAGCCATCAACAGGTCTTTAAGCCATCAACAATGCTACCGATCAAAATATCAATTTTAAAATGTACTGTTCTGGTTCTGTTATCTGATTGGCTGAACCACATTCAAACTCATTGCTAAAGATTTGATATATACACACATGAGCGCACACATCAACTGAATCCCGAATTAATGCACTGAGATATTAAAAGGTGTTCCTTGTATTGATCATGGAATATAGTACTGATAAGCATGTATATAGAGCAAATAATTGTATCAGACATACCGTACATCTTGTTTTACTTTGTTTTCAAATTCTAAAACTATTCAAATATAAATCACTCATTACTAGCCCAAATTTATACAACAGTTAGTTCCGGCCACGCAAGCTGATTGGTTGAAAAGCGTTCTAACCGTGATGTCATTTCGCCATAACATCACGTTTTTTTCACAAACACTGTATCACTCCGCTGAGACGCTGTTGCTAAGCAAGACTTTGACAGCTGTAGGAGACGCTCAAGCCATTTGAATGTTTTTTACTTCTTACTTTGCCACAAACAGAAAATGGACACTTTTAAGATCACATTTGACCGACAGCCGATTTGGTCAGACTCTGAAGATGAGACTACACTAAATTCCCAAACTGTCATCACCACTGAGCAGCTTTTCAGTCGGCAGCTGTGACTGAAGAACAGCTACACAACCTGGAATCAGCCAGAAATGAACCCAATACCATTTGCCAAACTAAATGGGCTGTAAGATGCTTTACAGACTGGCTGGAACAAAACAACATTAATACTGATCTGGCAAAAATGACAAAACTGAGCTAAACTTGATATTTTGGCAGTTTTATGGCTCAGACTGTACTTCAAAAGGCGAGGCTTACAGCAGACTGTGCAGTGAGTGGGCGGAGTTTGTTACTCTGACGTAGCAACAAGCTGCTTGTTAAGGAACTATAATTTGGTGAAGGAACTGCGAACATTAAAACAGTTTATTAATTTATTACTTTATTTATTTAACTGTTGTATAAAAGCAATAGAACACTCGAGGAGTGTGTTATCGCCAATAACATCACGGCTGTGATGATCTACGGTGACCAAATCACAGCCGTGATGTTATTTCGTGATAACACACAACCTTTCGTCTTCTATTGCTTAATAAAACAGACATTAATGCCAAGAGACTAGCTTTGGCTCAGTGTACCTAGCTCTTGGAAGCCATCACATTTTTAGCAGCGCTACCTAGCAAAATTAAAGCTATTGTGCCCTTAGTGTGTACAATTTCAAAAACTTAAGTTACTTAACTTGAATGATAAACTTGTTTGTTTGAGTAGGAACTGTTTATGGGAAATTAAGTACAATTAAGTAAAAGTTTTTTAACTATTAAACAGTTGATTATTTCTCAGTTAAGAGTTAATTGGTTAATCATGCACATGCCTAATATTGATCCCCTCACTCGTGGTCTTAATGAGTACTTGTGCGCCTCCAATACATTAAAAAAAAAATAAAAAGGTCAAGCAAAAGTACAAATAACAAGCACGGAGGACTTTGGGACAGGCTGAGCGAGGCCAGGTAAGTTCTCTTGAACTCTCAGCCATGGATGGCTGTGGATCTTATTTATTTCTAGCAATATAAAATATTTTCTTGTTGGGAAAGTCAAATATTAATCACATTTTCCCTCTCAGCTTTTTTTTGTTTTGTTTTGCTGTTCTTGTTCTCGTTCTCCTTGTCTTCTCTAGCTCTGCCCTTTTGCCACAACCTTCACCTGTGTATAGTTTGTAGGTGTTTCTAGTCTTGCCTTGTTTATAAGGAGCCCTTTGTTTCAGTCTTGCGTTGTCTGTGCGTCAACTATAATGTGGTTTGCTTTTATTTGTTTGTTTTGCTTCAAGTTTTTGTACTTTTGGAACAAACTTATTCTTGTGTTTTCATGCTGCTACCATTGCCTCCCACCTGGGACAGAATTCATTTTTTGTTTAAATGCCCATCTCTACTGGTTGACATTGAGAAATGAGTCTGTTGTGTGCCCTCTGCAGAGTGGCGTTCACTTGCCTTGCTCACTTTCGTAGGTAGAAGAGTCAATCGGAGAATGAAATCTCTTATTGCCAACACTTGTTCACCATGCTTGGCCAAAACAATGCTGTCAAATGCCATCTAGAACCAATGGTGTGGGACCCACCACAAAACTACAGCAACAGAGGCTCGACTGCCAATAGTTGGCTTGGTAGGTGATGAAAGTGAAACACATGCTTTAAATCTACCATCTCTCCACACCATTCACACTTGTATTCAGAAATAAATTAACTAAACAAAGCACATCAAACTTCAGTCTATAGACCTATTGTTTGTGGTTTACAGAAAAATGTAGTAAAATGTATAAATCTTTTGCACAGTTCACATACAGATTGAATATCCTATTTGCTGTAAGGCATATTGGCTTAGTTGGGTGAAAACTGCAGAAATTGTAGCCCAATGTGTCTGTAGTTTGTGGCTTTGAAGCACTAATCAAATACAGATGATCTCAAAGTCCTCCAGCTTCCACCCCCTGCTCTGATTGGTTACCGTGGAGTTCTGGAAGACATTAGGAAGAGAACACCCCTTTTCCTGCATATGGGACATCATACAGTACTTTTTAACACATGTTCATTTGAATAGGTAGCCCCTCAAAGTCCACTCAGCTCCAGCATGGCTTCAGCACATGATAAAGCAGTTCTACAGGCCATCTTCAACCCTACCACCCCTTTTGGAGATGTTCCTGGTTTGAACCAAGAGGAAGAGCTCACAGATGATGGTACGTTCAGTTTTTATATTAAAGGAATTCTGTATGATTTTAAACCTGATCTCTGTCCACCAAATCTGTAGCATATGGTTGATTTTCACTGACAATAATGTTGATGCAGAACAGGGAACAGAAAACTATGGTTCTAGACAGACTTATAATATCAATGGGCAGTTGCCAAAATTGTAAACTAGGAAATGTCAAAATTATTGGTCAAGGTAAGGACTGTATGCTACAGATGTGGGGATTATGGTAAACAGTGCTGGAGTTTTCTTTTAATAACCTCTTAAACTGCAGGGGCTAACACTTCAATATTTCACTGTAATAACTAAATAACTTACACATCAGTTTCATAGTAGAAACTGATTCATTCATAGCAGTTACTGCATGATCTTAGAGGTTCATATCTACATTTTTCTTGCATTTTTTTTTTACCAATTTTATTTACCAAAAATTAATTAAATAATTTTACATTTTTTTGGCCAATCTCTCTTTTCCCCTTAGAATTAAACAGGCTGTTACGGTACCTATAAAACTGATGCAAGTTACCTCTGCTCTGATTGGCTGCCTTGTATTCAGACAGGAGTCCAGACTGAAACTCTCCTTATAACTTCAACATGTATGGGCTGTAGGCTGAATAGGCAGGATACATGTAAATGTGTTTTTTTTTGTTTTTATAAAAATAATTCAAAATGGGCTGTTTTGTAGCTTAGTTTATATATATATATATATATATATATATATATATATATATATGTAAATAACAGTGGAAATAACAGTGTTTGAATTCTATCTATCTATATTCTATCTATTCTATCAAATTCTTTATTAAAAAATAAAGCAAACAAAATGAAATTTTCCATGATAGAAGCCTTTTAAGTGTTGAAATGTGGAAAACCACATTTCTAAACAGTACTGGCCACTGTCCAGTCCTATTAGTTCACAAACTGAAAAAATAAGATGCTAAAACAGCCCATTGGGAATTTCTGGGATATCATAGAATAAAGTGCATTTACATATATCCACCTATTCAGCCGACAGCAGCTTAGCTCAGCCCATTCAAGCTAAAGTTATAGGAGTGTTTCAGCCCACAAAGATATTATTTACATATATATACGATGATATTTACATATATCAGTCTTAAAGGCTCAGTAACGAAAAAGGCCTGTTTGGTTCAAAGTGATAAAGAGATGTCAGAACATGGTCGTGTAAAGAGGAATTACATAAAAACACACACACATTATAAGTGGAACACAAGAAAAAAGCTAAAATAAAGGACAAGTAGGAGTTAAACCCAGTCTTCTTCATTGCCGCATGTTGAGTCTGCCCTCGCATCGAAATATGTTCACCTATGAATTATTTAACAACATTTTGCTAAACTTATGTATGATACTTTATGCTTTATGAAGGTGAGATTTCATATATTCAGTTGTAGAGAAAGCTGACAGCATTCGTGTCAGGGTCTAGCACCAAAGAATGAAGTTAGATGAGCTCCACTGTGAATATTTTGACAGTTTCCTGAGATATGATGAGGTTCTGTGGAAAACAACAGCGGCAGAGCCGCTCTATAATGTGTCTGTATAATGACTGTGGGGGCCGCATCTCCCCTGACAGGATGTGCATGTATTAAATGAATTCAAAATAGATCCGCTATGAGTATTAAGTACTCATAACAATGCGAGGTACAACGGCTTTACAAATCCCTCAGTTTATCTGTCTGCGCCATGTTGCTCGCTCAATCTCTCCAGACAGTTCCTTCGACCCGGTTCTGCTGAAGCAGGTGAAGGATCTGGAGCTGAAGGGTGTTTCTGCCGCCGAGGCTGGAGACGTGAAGAGAGCACTGCATCATTTTAACCAGGCCATTCAGACACTGCCCTCGAGAGCTTCGGCCTACAACAACCGAGCTCAGGCCAAGCGCCTACAGGGAGACACTAAAGGTAGGCCGCTTAAGTAGTTGTCACCTGAATCTTCTCTCGTACAGGAGCAGTACGGGGGTGGGTTGGCACAGTTTTCGTACTCTGTCATATTTCCCCAGTGCACCATATGTTAGGACCCATTTCTGAGCAAATAAAAACTTAATCTCAGAAAAAAACACAAACACACTGAATGTCACAGTGTAGTTGCCAAAGGTAGGTCAGTGCAGATTGAACTCATACTGTGTACTTGTGCCAATGCAATTACAATTAAAAACAAAGCCAAAAACATTCAAAGGCATATCTGCCCACTTTTAAAAAGATCACTAAAAATATCATTTTTAAATACAACACTTATGATCACAATGAGTCACTTTGTCACCAGCTGTGAGCTGTAAATATTTTTTTTTAACATGCCTTTAAACAATAATGCTTTTTTGGCACATCTGGGGGTCCTAAGCTTGGCCCTAAGGCCAAAGGCCCTACTTTCCTACCCCTTCCCATCCCAAATAACCGAGCTCAGGCCAAACGCCTACTGTGCAGAAGCTACAGACCACCTTTCTTTTGTACCCAAAATGGATGTTAAGTATAAATTATTAATTTTTCATCATCAGGAAAAAGGCAGAAAACTTTCTGTTGCTGTCCAAAGAAAAACATGAGTCTCCATTTTTGTCACATTTTAGTTTCCTACAGATTCTACAGAATCACTTGGACTAAAACCTCTTTACATTGAACGTTAAGAACATTTTTGTCTTTTTTGGGGGAGGGGGGAGGTTTTCCTTTGGACAGTGATGGTGAAAATTGCACAGAAGCCTCAAAAACTAAATAACATTATTTTCAGCATTCAGTGTGTCCACACTTTGCCTTTATTACAGCTTCCATTCTTTAAAGAGACTCACTTTCAGTTTCTCAAAGAAATTTGCAGTGGCATTTAGAATTTGGTGGCATTTTCTGCATCTCATGATCAAAGTAATCTCAAAGGTATTCAATGCTGTTGAGGTCTGGACTCTGGGGCGGTCAGTCCATTGTTCTGAGAGCACCAGCAGCTTCTTTGTTTCATCTGCAAATTCTTCTTTTTTTGTCTGTTTCCTTTTCTCAGCAGCAGCTTTTTGACAGCTACACATCCTTTCAGACCCCCAGCACAGTTTGACCTCCAGTTTTGAAAAGTCTTGTTTTTACAGAAAATCTCCTGAAAAATGAATAGCTTGTTCTTAATGGCAGTTTCAACTAGAAATTAAACTTACACTGTGTAGGATTTGGGGATTTAGAGACCTCTCTGGTTGAAATCTGTAATTGCACACAAAGGGTAGAAACACATTTTGTAATGTAGGTTGTGCTTCAAGACTCCTTCCCCGAGTGGATGAATCAGATTTTTGTGAGCACATTGAAAGATGATTCAAGAAGAACTTTAGAAGGATGATTCAAGAAGAACTCAAGAAGGATGTGTCCTTTGAGAATATGAGTCAATCATCTGCCAGTGTCATCATGTATTCATTAGTATAATATTGATTTTTTACTTCAGACGTAAACATCGAGTCAGGCCTTCTTTTCGAGCCTGTGTGTGTGACAGTGATACATAAAGAGGTATGGCATGGTCTGAAAAACTGTATTTTCATACATCTACTGTATTTACTCTCACACTGAGTAAATATAGTAGGTGAGTATTATTCCTCCATGTAATAAACCTGATGAAATGAATTACTTGCTGTGGTGGCCACACTAAGCTAAATAAATAAATAAATAAATAAAAAAAAAGAGAATGTCCCAATAAATGTTTAGTGTTCTTAAAAAGACTTTAGTATGAAATATTACATCAACGTTATAAATATTGTATACATGCAACAGTGAACATGTGGGATAATGTTTGACACTTTATTTGAAGGTTCTCACAGACATCATTAAACATTCGAAACACAAAAGTATTGCTCATACATCCTGCTTTATCTGCATGCATTACAACTTTGAGAAACTTTAAGTGATGGATTAGTGAAAAAAAAGTCAGAAATAGGGACAAAACTGAGGAAAAAAGTTTTCATTTGGCTGCTGTTGCTGTTTATAGCTATGTAACACACTTTTGTCCAATTTCAAAGAGAACAGTATGTCATACAGTGTTATAAACAACATATGCAAGTTTATTAGCATTTACATTTTTAAATGCACAACACAAGCTGAAACAAGAAATGTGAAATTGCTAACATTTGGCTATAAGCTTCTAGTACTTGTTAGCTGCATTTGCATTTAGTGCAAATTTCAGACACCAAATCTGTCTCGGCTGATTCCGTTTGAGTTGAAAACTGCTTTGACCTATTGTTAGTAGTGCTAAGTCATAAAGTTACATTCATATAAATTAGCAGACACAAGCGAAGGGAGTCTACAGCACTCTTAAGCACAGCTCAGGCTTGATTTTTTTTTTCTTGTGGTCTGCCTCAGGTGCGATCGAAGATTTGGAGCAGGCCATCTCCCTGAGCAAGGACAAAGGACGCTCAGCCTGCCAGGCACATGTCCAGCGCGGCCTTCTGCTCAGGCTGGCACGCAGAGACGAGGAGGCCAGGGCTGACTTCGAGCGAGCCGCTGCGCTGGGCAGTGAGTTCGCCCGACAACAGGCTATTATTCTGAACCCTTACGCTGCACTGTGCAACCGCATGCTCTCCGAAGTCATCGGCAAACTACGCAACCCAGAAGTGCCGGAGATGCAGTAGAGACAGAGCAACACACTGTGCACTGTATTACATACATTTATACATGCTGTATACATAAACATGCATTTAAATGGATAGACAAATAAAATATATTTGCTATCTTTTACACTACAAGGGCCTGTGATGAGCTTACCCTTCCTTATTTGCATCATTACATAATTTACATATTAATTTACTGAACAATTCATCTAAGGATTACTATCTAGATCATAAGCAGTTTAAGTGGTTAGCCACTGTGCATTCACAGTGATACATATATAAATTAAATCTATGGTGGTCCTATATGAGCAGTTCACCCTGAATTTATTAAAAGGTTGTGTGTATCTAAGAACAAAGTACATGGGGTAAGACCATTGAAAATATTCCTATTCCTAAATATTCTACATTTGGTTGCATTACTGTTTATCCGGCATGACTCAGTGAATTTGACAGTTGTACTGCTTGTGTTAGCCACTAGAGGTCACCAAAACAGTGCATTTTTGCAGTAGCCTGGAAACTACACTCACTATCTACTATAGAACACCCAGAAACTCTGACCTTGTACTGCCACCCAGTGGCCACTTTATGAAGTCCCTCTCAGGCAGTGCATTCATGTTTTAGGTAGGCCTGCCATATTTAGAGGGGTACAATTGGTGTACAGTTACAGACTGACCCCAGGACTATTGTTGACCAGATATTATCTGAACCATTCTCAGCACAGCTGTGACACTGACATGGTAGTAGGTGTCACACTCAGGGTCGGAATGGGAGGTTAGAACAGTTCAACTAGTTTGTCTGTCTGTATTGACTGCAGTGTATGAAAGCTGTTATATAAACTTGCCTTGCCTGGCCGTCTGTCTGTCTAATTATCTGTCTATTGCATGCAATTTCTTGGATTACTGAAGGATTCTTAAGTGAAATGCTATATTTATTACATAAAAATTACAGACTAGTATTAGAGACAGTTCCAACAGCAGTGTATACTGCATTCTGTTACCACTCCAGTGGACCCCACTGTGTAAATGTTCAGCTGTTTATCCTGGTTATGATGTGTAAATAGAATCAGTCTTTGGATTTAAATCAACATACTGCCAAAAACATAAATTGGGCCTTCATAAATTGCATGAAAAAAAGGAGAACATCAAAAATGGGGAAGACACTCAGGTTTTAGAGGTAAATGTGGGTTATCAAGATATTTTGGATCTGTTAAAGAAAAATTCCCACTGCATCATTCAGTGGGCGAGATGTCGCTAAACAAAATCATTTAGAGTGCTTTGTTATGAACTGGTTCACTGTAGACTTGTATTTACAGTGGTGGTGATAGCAACCAGGGGTCACAGTGTCTACAACACAAATAAAGCCATTTTATTTACTATCCAAAACCATCAGTAACTCTACCCGAGCCTTATGAGTGTTTTATTCATTACCATCAACATTAAATATAGTGGTAAATCTAGAAATATTAGTTTTCTTTGGAGACTATTTTGCCTCATAACACCCTGAATGTATCTCCACACCAGGAATGAGCTTACAAAAATACATTTTAGGCAAAAAGCTTATCTGAAAACTATTATAAAACAGTGTCTCAGGACATCAGGCAGTGAATTTGTGACCATTTAAAGGAATAACTTTCTGTGAGGGAGCTTTTAGAGGTGGACGTCTGGTTCCCATCACCACCACTGTGAACAATTCGGACACTCAAGTTTCCCTAGAATGGAGTGTTTCACACCAAACCACTCTGAACGACTCGGTTTACATCCTAACCATTTTTTTTACATTTCTAGAATTCTCTTTAAATCAAAAGGAAGCATAAGCTATTGTAGCTGCAGTAATCATATGGAAATGATGCAACTATTTTGTCTGAAAAAAACCCAATGTCCTACTGCAACTGTTTACAATAGTGCAGCATGCCATCTGTTTCTGTATTAAGATATCACGTCTTCTTGACCACTGATATTAACAGGTAGAGTAGAAAGTGGTCCAGTCTCCAGTATGTATGGTAAGGACACTCAGTGGCCTCTTTAGTCTTTAGGTCTGTGTGCAAATTGAATTATCTGTAGCTGCTTAGACGATTATATTTGTGGAGATTTTAGTGGCTTGTGAATAATATATTTGTCCTATTCTAGTTAAAAACAGTTAGTTATAGTTTTGTTTCAATAGCCAATATGCGGTGTTTTAGAGAAGCAACAAGCATTACAGTTTAGACCAGTTGCACACAGTATAGTGATATGCATTCATGTTGCTTATATTCATACTCACAATTTGTTACATGGTAGAAATGACAGCATTGTGTAAGATGGAATTGTCAAGCTACAGCAGAAGAGGGTGATTATGAAAGTTTTTAATGTTTTAATACTGTAATAGGTTTTGCTAAGGAGGTGAGGTGAGCCAATGGGCCTGTGCATGAATTTTTTAGTGGGGACCCAAATTACTACTAGCACTCCTGTCCTCTACCTTTAAAGAGGATATATGCAGTGACCGTACCTTTAACTCAGCCTTCGTTATGTTCAACGTTGTTCAGATTTTGTTAAAATGAAGGAAAATGGCTACCCATGGCTTGGTTTGAGCATTTTGTAGGGCAACCTGTCTGCAGCTTTGCTAACTGTAGGAGAGATAACTACAGTAGCTATATAAGCTAACTTTAGCAGACATAGTTCCAGCGCCTTCCAAAGTCCAGTACTAGGACAAGTCATCCACATTCCAAAAATATACAGACAAGAGCAATTCTGTGGTCAGAAGAAGGCCAATGCTGGGGTGCTGAAATCAAGTCCAGCACACTTTGGTAATATTGCAGTGCAAACACTCCAGATTTAACTTCACAATTACATACAAGGTTTACTTGCAGGGAAGTCACTGAGTTGTGCTGGAATTTGGCCTTCAGTTCTTCAGCCCTGGACTAGGTATGATTTATGCAAACAGTGTGGCAACAAATGGGCTATAGTCTCTAACTGTACACCAGCAAGGTAAACCTAGAGGATAAAGGTTTCCAATAAAGTGGCCAATGTTTGTCTATTGCTTCAGAACCAAAGCAGTAAAAAGCAGTTATTATAGCACATCAGATACACCAATCGGGCATAACATATTTGTTTCTATGCTCATTGTCCATTTTATCAGCTCCACTTACTATATAGGTGCACTTTGTAGTTCTACAGTTACAGACTGTAGTCCATCTGTTTCTCTGCAGACCCTCACAGAGCAGGTACTATTTGGGTGGTGGGTCAGTCTCAGCACTGCAGAAACACTGACGTGGTGGTGTGTTAGTGTGTGTTGTGCTGGTCTGAGTGGATCAGACACAGCAGTGCTGCTGGAGTTTTAAACACTGTGTCCACTCACTGTCCACTCTATTAGACACTCCTACCTTGTCAGTCCACCTTGTAGATGTAAAGTCAGAGATGATAGCTCATCTGCTGCTGCACACCCAAATAGTACCTGCTCTGTGAGGGTCCATGGGGGTCCTGACCACTGAAGAACAGGGTAAAAGCAGAGAAACAGATGGACTACACTCGGAGGTGGTCATAATGTTATGCCTAATCCGTGTATGTACTCAAATCATAATTACAAAAAAAAAAGTATTTTCAAATAGAAGACTTCTAAAACATTCATTAATACTTACTCACCAAATACTCATGTTTACCAAATATGTTGGTGACGTTCCATAAAACAGCATCCATTCGCTGCAATCAGTTTCCATGTCCTTTACCAGTGTTAAGGAACTGGCTGACCAGGCTGTGGGATTGCTCTGGTCTTTCTGTGACCTCACTTATGCTGGCTAAAGCCACAGGCTCACTCCTGCTCTCAGTCTGGTAATAAGGGCAGACCTTCAGGTGTTCAGCCATAGAGGGCACGTCATCAAAGATCCATTTGTCCACTGGGGAGAACAGGCTGCTGAACTCCCACACCTGCAGGACAAGGTGGCAGGACAAGGCAGCGGTCACTATCAAGAGATTCCACTGGCATGTTACTAGGAACTCTTGCAAGGATGGCTATGGCAACTCATAAATAAAACTTTTCTAATTTTTTTGTGTACACAAGCTGGGCTTGTTGCCTCCAGCCACCATGGCTGCCATGGTCTACTACGACAAATACACCAGTCTGAAAATGTGAGTTTTAGGTGGTTTAATTTCATGTTTTAATTGAATGTTGTAATGCTCTGTTATGCAATATTCTAGAGTGCAGGATTATATCACTAAGCCTTATTGGTTTAACAGTATTCAAAATGTTTCAGTCATCAGTGTTCCTTCACTACAATACCCAGCATGCATTATGCAAATACATCATACAACTACTGGGAATCCCTGTGGTGTCATCCAGTCATTACTACTAGCCTAGCCACTGTCCTATACGCTAATAAATGCAGCTAATCTGGCATTAGTGTAATAAATTGTAAAGAAAACCGTGATCCTGTCTCTAGTAGATGTTACAGATACATTTAACCCTTTCCTGCCCGAAAAACAAGTCAAACTGAGGTAAAATATCTAAAATGTCATTTACCCTGCTACCTACTTTAGCTTTTAGCATGTTGTCCTCCTCATCTGATGAGTTATTTTGGACATTTCAGTAATCCACTCTCTCCATTGTAATGATCTGAAGACAGCTATAGTTATATGGCTGCAATAAAAATATTCAAAAACATCAGCTATATGCCTTCTTTCTGCATTTGCCAGCTTAAAAAAATAAATAAATAAAAAAATTGCCCACTCTGAAGCAGCTTTAATTCTTCAAAAAATTCAAGATGCATCTCTAAATATGGATTTGCCTAGAACTTAAACCAGAAAATCCTATTCTAGAGATTACTGTCGCACCTCTACAACACACATGCATCCTCACAACAGATGTAGCGATGTTGACCTATTTCATTTTGGCCCAGGTGTCCTTTTAATAAACACTAGATTATGATATTCTTTCAAATACTAAGCTTATTTTTTAGACACTGGCTATTAATTCTCATTTTTCTATTTTTCTTGATTTCTCTTATAATGCTTACCTATTTCTAGTCATCCCTAAGAGTCAATGCTTAAAGTTCCTACCATCACACGACGTTTTAATGTTTCTATTCTTCTGTCCCTCGGATAATCATGCGGAAGCCAAATCTACCATGGCATTATTTAGCTGTATTTATTTTCAGTAAAGCCATGGGCATATTCTCTGGAGTGATATCACTGACCAACACTCTGGCCCAGGCTCAATCACAGGACAATAAAAGCAATCCTCTGCCATGTACTGGAATCGATCTGTTTTGAGTATTTGTTTAAACAACGAGATCGCTGACTGGCCTCTAATCAGGGAATTTGAGAGAGACAAGCTGAAGATACAGTGTGTGGCTATCTGGTGCAGTCCTGAATGACCAACGCAATATGCCCTCTCTATGGTACTCTGACCTAGATAGCTCTGAGATCAGACAGCAGAACCCAGTCATTTTTAGAATGCTTATCATAAACAAAACACAGCAATAGACATTGCTGAGGCTAAAAATAAGACAAGACAGAGCTGGAAACTATGGAATGCATGTACGTACATTGCTTTAGCAGATCACATGATGTAACTTGGCTCAAAGTTTGGTACAGTTTAAAACAAACAAACAAAAAAAAACAAGTTGTGTATTTGCCTGAATATGGATTTTTCTCAAGGTATTGTTGAAGTAAATCACATTGTTTAATGATGATTATTAGCCAACTTTCTGACTTGGTCATTATTTTGACTCAGTAAGTCAAATTCTTGTGAAAATACGTAAATATTTTGGTCTAATGAGTGAACCTGACAGTTTTTTCTCCCTGGCAGAAATGGGCTTTAATGCAAAAAAGCATGTGAGCCAAACAAGTTGATGTTGCATTGGTCATATGTCATTTAATAAATGTTAATTACAAAGTTGACTGTCCATTTGAATAGACATTCTTTGTAGGTAACCTGCTAAAGTGGCCACCCCCCACCAGTGTGAAGTGTCAGTAGAACTACTGCCACTAATTTGCAATTCTATTAGTAAATCTGCCCACAGGGGGTACCATGAGTGGTGAGCCTTGTACTTTAATGCTACAGTGTCTACGGTCCAGATGCACAGATTTAGTTTTGTGGGTTAACCCTCTCAGGTCGATGATGTTGTATGCAACATCAAAGGCTGTCATAGCCAAAAGAATAAATCTCGTGAACTGCATGCTTAAGACATACTTTCATTTTGTCCAGAATAGTAGTGTTGTTTTAGCGATTAGTCAGGAACACAGGCTCCGATTGGTCAACAGACTCGACCCAGGGCATCAGTGGATGGCTAACAGCCCTGCTAACAACAATAACTCTTTAACCTGGAGAAACATAATTATACAACAGTTAGTTCCGGCCACGCAAGCTGATTGGTTGAGACGTGTTCTAACTGTGCTGTTATTTCGCCACATCATGGGTTTTTCACAAACACTGTATCACTCCGCTGAGACGCCGTTGCTAAGCAACGAATCTGATAGCTGTAGGAGACGCTCAGCCATTTGAACGTTTTTACTTTTACTTTTTTTACTTACTTTGCCGCAAACAGAAAATGGACACTTTTAAGATCACATTTGACCGACAGCCGATTTGGTCAGACTCTGAAGATGAGACGGCACTAAATTCCCAAATTGTCATCACCACTGAGCAGTGACAGTTTGGGAATTTAGTGTAAGGAGCTGGAGAACGAACTGCCGGCTGTGCAGTGAGTGAACGGAGTTTGTTACTCTGATGTATCATCAAGCTGCTTCTTGAGGAACTATAATTTGGTGAAGGAACTGCTAACATTAAAACATTAAATGCCATGTTAACTGGCTAAATTTATTAATTTCTTACTTTGTTTATTTAACTGTTGTATAAAAGCAATAGAACACTCAAGGTCGTGCGTTATCGCGTATAACATCACGGCTGTTATTTTGTGATAACACACTCCCTCTCATGTTCTACTGCTTAAATAATCACAGAATACATTCTTGGTTGGATTAGTCATTATGGATTTATTTCCCTATTTGCCTCCAAAAAGAAAGTACAGTTCAAGGCTGGATTACAAACCTGCTGAAAGCCCTCTTTGAAATGGCAAAAACACCTTGGCCTTCCATGAAAAAAATCCTTTGCTGTTGCAAACAACATGGTTGACCTGAGAGGGTTAAAGCATTTACTCCCATGTTATTCCAGCGGTGCAGCACCCTTCCAATACTTCCCTTTCAGCGTTCTGTTGGATATAAATCATACTGTTGCAGTTGGACCAGACAGGGCGTACAAATTGAGATCTCACCTTTTTCCTTGCCTTCCAGCAGGACCCACCATGCGAGTAAGTCTTCTTCTCCCACTTGAGAGACACCATTCCTTTCTGTTGTAGTAAAGTACCACATACTTCCCTCATCAACGTTGAGACCTGGGACAGTTGGCATATGGACATACTATCCAAGAACCCTGCAATGTGCTGGAGTATCTCAAAAGGTAGTCGACTGAGTGAATCCAAGTTCCTTGCCCGCTTTCGCTCACTGTTTTCAGTCTTTATGCCCTTGTATAGCGATGCTGCCACCTTTGGCTGGAGGGCAAAAGTTCCAAGATCCTGGTCATAGCTCACCGTGGCCCGGTGCTTGGAAGGACGAAAATGGTTTTGGCTGTAGGTACAGCCCAGGTAAGCCAGTGGGCATCGCTGGATGAACCAGCCTGTAAGACAGGACTGGATGTCTGCGTGCACATTTCGGAAGTGCCAGGGGAACTCGTCTCGCCTGAAGGAGTGGCAGCAGAGGTAAGTAAATGCTGAGCTGGATTTGTTATGTCTCCTTGTGACACATTCTGTCTGAATCTGCACACTGAGGTTTGGGGATTTGTGCTCAGCAATGTCTGCCAGCGTTGTGTCAGGTTTGAATGGAGCCGAGGGGAAGTCATAGGTCTGGGTGCCCAGGTCCACATAGAGGCCATCTGTTCCAACTGTCTCACATATCTGGTGGCCTTTCAGTTCTTTCTCCAGACAGCACAGTAAAGTGGTCTGGACTTCATCTGATTTCGGAAGCTCTTCTACAGACACTCCCAAATCGGACGTGTCTACATTCTGGTGAGCCTTCTTGGCTCCATGTGAGGGATCTTTCAGATGGGTGCGTTTGGCTGTGAAGCTTTTAGGAACATTAAAAGCATGGATCGTCTGCACCTCAATTGGCTCTAGGTTCCCATAAACAAAGTCTTTTTCTTTTGGTGTGCAAGCTGCCAGCTGGCCAAAATTGATTAGCATGCAGCCGTTATGTACCAGGTACATGTTATACTCGGCCACATTGACCTCTCTGCGAAGCCTGTCTAGAACACCATCTTGCCAGGGAGCAAACCCAGTCTTGCTGAGATCTACTGGCGCAACATTATTGGACTCTTGGACATCTTGAGGGCCCTGTATTGCATGTTTGTCAGCAGATGGAGATTGGCCCTCTTTCTTCTTGCTCTGGTCACTTTTGTCCCCCAGGTTTTTCGCTGTTTGTCTGCATCCTTCCATCTCCTTTTTGAACATTCCTTCCCACATGGTGTAGTTCTCCAAACAGGCCACGTCCTTGCTCTTAGCCAGGGCCAGACGCTCTTCCTCTGTCAGTTCCTGCACCTCTTGACCGTCAAGGCCACCTGCAGTTTCATCTATGTGTAATCCTCCAGCCTCCAATCCATCAGAACCTATACCCCCAACTGCTCCAAATGGCTCCTGAATGGTAGGTTCTGTGATCGTTTCAGTCAGCTCAGGAAATAGTGTGTCCATCTTGATAGAGTTGAACAGGAGCTTCTGATCTCTTAGAGCCATCGCTAGATCTAGCTGGTCCAGGCAGTTGGGTTCCTGCATAGCATTCCTGTAGAAGGTGGTGTCTGTCTCAAGGATGGGCCATCGGTTCCACTCCAAGGAACAGCACACCACACTGGCTGGGCACACCTCTAGATGCTGGGCAAGACGGTGCCTGGGCATGGACATAGGGCATCCATAATGGGCATTGAGACAGGGTACCATTGCCTTGGGACAAAGCAGATGGTGCTCATCTTCTTTACATAGGTGGAAGGTGGCCCCGCAGTGCAGACGACATGAAATGACCTCACAGGAAGTGAAGATCTCCACAGGGACTTTACAATGCTGGTTGAAACATTTCTCACAGTGCTTGTGTAGACCTGTACTGGATGTTCCGTTTCTGCCCTGGAGAGTGAAATAAACCATGTAAGCTTACAAGGGCTTTTATAGATATTTATGTTTTTAATATTGTTATATTGTTTTCCCAAAGTTTGAAGACTTGGAGCCTCACAGAGTCTTAGTTTATTGAACGAGTGCTTAGAACAACACAGTGAGGAGGCAAAACTCTTACCATTGCTGTTCCTGTTTCTTGAAGTTCTGATACAAAAAGAAAAACAAAGTCATTACTGAGTTAAAAGTTGTTAAGACATTTTGACTTTGAGTAGACTGTAATACAGTAGCATCAACTAACACAATATATACTGAAATATTCAAAATAGGCTAACATCTCAGTATAGAGGAACATTATAATGCCCTTAAGCTTTATTAAATCTGGTAATTAACTGTTCATTACTACATTATTACAAAAACTATGCCAAAATAAGCATTTTCAGAGCACTTTTAGGTGTCTGTTATACATGACAATCTTTTGCATGTTTATTAATGTTAAGACATCCAGCACTCTGATAATCAACACCATCAAACACCAGATCTTAGTAGATGTCAAGCAGAAATTGTCACTTTAGATTAGGGGGTCAATTTGCCTTTATTTATAGCTAATTGGTGATTTATTAAGCACATTATTCACTCAATACTTAAAGGTTGTGCACAACATTATGTTGAATAAGCCACAAATAAAAGTGTTCTAAAATTGCTTTATACTTAAAAAGGTAATAAGCAGACATTCATTTAGCAGCTACTGGCTTGATGAAGCTTAATAAGTGTATAAAAAAAGCATTATAAAATATCCTCCTATACTGAAGTCTTGACCTGTTCTAAAGATTATTACTCAAATACACTTAGTGAACTTTCTTGACAAGTTTGTTCTACATTAAAATAATAAAAATAAATTCAGTATATATACACACAATCTGTGTCATGCAAACATTGTGTTAAAAGAAAAATGACCACCTTCCTATAAAACAATGTATTACTGGGATGCACATAAAAATGTTACATACATATTCTGCTTAGTACCCAATGCCAAAAACATTTCCCAGAATTCAATTATTAGCTTAATGGTCCAGTTCATACTCACCCTTTGCTGCCCTGCTGGTGTGAGTGTGAGGCTCTGTTGGTATAAATGAGTAATTGTGTGGGTGAGTGCGTATAGCCCCCTGTCCTCTATTTGGCTGTTATAAATAGACAGAGGGCCAGCAGGGCACTGTGTGACTCAGCCTTTGAGAGGTAAGGTCACATTACACGAGCCATAATCATTGTCATTTGTATACTGGGCTAATTGGGGGTCAAGTGTGACCAATATCTGTGGAAGATCTCCTTTACAACAGGGAACAATACACGTTTATCATATTTTCATATTTATAAACATAAGCAAAACAAACATGCATGACATTATGTGGGACGTTATGATAAGCAAAGCATTTAAGGAGATTCTTTTCAAATGTAGGTTCCAGTGTAAAAGGGTCATTCTGCCATCATGGCGGCAAACGGGGTACAAATGTTGACATGTAATTTAAGAATAAAACATGGTCTATTATATTGAACACCACTGACCATCTGTCAAAACTAATAACAGAGCTTTTCTGAAACAGTCCACTGCAAATTTTGTTAACATGACATTGTATGTAGAAAATGAAAAAGTGCATTGATGTTATTTTATTTAAAATTTAAAATCATGTAATGCTTCATGAGTAAGACCACCGAAACAATCTTTGTGAAACATGAAGCTGCCAAATTGATCAGAAGTATAAAGAAGTTTCATTAACCATGGACGAAAGAAGCGTTAGTCTTTCTTGCATTTTCATTTATGTCATTTGTCAGACGGTCTTATCCAGAGTGACTTACAGTTTGATCATACACAGGTAGGTGAAGGCAGTGTTAGGAGTCTTGCCTAAGGACTTTTATTGGTATAGTGTAGGGTGCTTACCCAGGCAGGGGATTGAACCCCAGTCTGCATAAAAGGTAAATCCTACATAAACTATTCAAAAATTTATTTATTTGCTTGTTTGTGGATACATTTCTGTAACATTACCAAGATAATATTTATTAACAAAAAAATATATTTAGATATTTTAAACAATGTGTACATTAGACAGGCAATCATTTCAATGGAAATTAACAAATTAAACTGAACATCTTTAGATAGAGTAGAATTTAAATTGTTATTTCATGTAAAAGAAAATCATCTGTAAAGTCACTGGTGTGACCTGCTGTTCTCTGCACAACTTGGATAATACACACTAAATTAAGAATTCAATAAGAAGAATTATCATATTTTTTGTTGGTTCATTTAAGAATGAATGAAGAAACCCAGACATTGACTTTGTGATTTATACTTATTTTGAGCTCATTTTCGTGCCTTTGAAGTTGTGGGACACCATTTGTCACCACAATGCTGGAATGACCCAAAAAAATCAGCATCTCAAGATTATTTTTATATAACCATCAATACAGCTTGATCTTTAAAGCTTGCTTTTACATAAGTCTGCCACCAGGTGTCATTAGAAGCCTTTGAGTGAGAGCTCCCAGAATGCCAGAATGTGCTGGCGTCAAAAGAGTTGATGAAGCTGTGCTTGTGAAGTGATTATGCGTATGAGGTGATGCCAGTACAAGTTGGGGGATTAGTAATCACTTTATGGAACGCGCTCCGCTTTCTTTCACTCTAAAAATGTTTCACAAAGTCTTACAGCTTCACAATTTTATCTTGGAACAGAAAAAAAACACACAAACTGTGAAATTTGCTGGCTGAGAATTTGCCTATTCTTTATTTATTTATTTTTTACATAACTCTCATTATCTGTTATTTGCTTTGTGCTTTAAGAGTGATTAATATTCATGTAGTTCGGGCTACAAAGGAGAAAGATGCCGACGCGCACTCTGTAAGCAAGATTAAACAATAACCTTGTTTACGCAGCGTTTAAAATGCGACAAACAAAATACAGTAGATAAAATAGACTTCCGTCACCCATTGATGTCAGCTAATAAACGGGGAACTGCTGATGCCTGAAAGTTCCTGTCACTGAGTTACTCCTCATTAAACCTGAGCAGCATGAACATCATAAAAAAAAAATTGCACATGCACGCAGATGTTTATGATCATATAAATTTAGCTCCTCAACAACCTTTCTTGCACCCAATCTCCTGCTTTTAATCTCAAAAAGTAATTAAAACCACCTTCTAATGATGTCGGTGCTGCTATTACTGCTTAATTAGGATGGGGATTTTATAGGATCCCTCCAGGGTACGGAACTTTGTCTAATTTTGAGACATTAACGGAGGGACCAGTGAAGCAGGACAAGATGTGGGAAATTGGACCGTGCAGCTGTTTTTACGGTAGATTTTTTCCTACTGGCTTGGAGGACACTGTGATCCCACCACAGGGGGCATGTCGACACACCGGCACACCAAACTGTGCATCAGAGTGAAGAGACACACCTGCGAAACACTCTCTACGTGCAAATGACACCTGCAACATCTCTCTCTCTCTCTCTCTCTCCAAACGACACCTGCCAAATGCACTCTAAAAAGGACAGGTTTTAAGTGCATTGCACCTTCAGATGCCATCCATCTACAGAATGCTCTGTGCTTGAAGGAGTCACCTGCACGATGCAACAGACCTGCAAACGACAACTTGAAAATGAATTCCTATGTGCACAAAAGAGCTGTGAAACATTCTATACCTGTGAATCACACATGCAAGAGATGCCAGCGATGACTATGACTGATTAATTAGGTCGGAAAGCAGCAACAGCACAGTTCCTATGGAAGTCCCCCTGGCCCAGAAACATTCCAATAGCATTACAATCTTCCAGCCATCAGAGTGTGTGTCTTTGAGCTTTTCAATAGCTGTATTGGATCAAAGACGACTAGGTAAAAAATCCTGTTTAAAAGATGCAAATATCTTGGTGATTTTGAAATGAAACAGTTCGATTAAACAATAAATACACAGTAAACATTATTAAAGTTCCAAATCATACCACATGGTCATGTATGAAAATTTAGCTGCAAAAACATTCACCAACCATTCACAAAGATTCTGACATTCACCAGTGTTTTCTTTTTTGGGATTTGTTCTTAGGTAATGTAACAGTGCATAATAGTTGTATTAATGTTGTGGTGAAATTCCTGCTAAATAGGTTTGGCCATACTTGCTGGTCGGTCAGCGCATTACAACTCATATAGGTGATTCGGTGCAGCCCTGGCAGTAGTGTGTTTGCATGCTGCCGTGGCAAGTACAGCTCCGTATGTTCAGCTCAGTAAAACTGCAAATAACTCTGTAAAGTGTTCTAATATTTGACTTTTTTCCCTACCGTCTTGAAATACATGTAACAGAGACCAGTAAACCCAGTTGGGCCTTTTCAAGACACATTAAAGAGTTATTTATTCGAAGCTAAACCTGAACTGTACCAACATTAGCCTGTTTCTTATGTTGTCCGCTGGCCGAAGCATGAACAGAGACTTAAACTGTGGTTGCCATCTTCATTACACGCATGTTTCATTCATGTTTAATGCGTATTAAAAACAGCATTAATGAGCACAGCAATGCTTGCTGGTTTAACTAGCGTATTCATAGCTGCACCATGTGGTCTGGATGCCATATTTTGTGTTCGTCCCCAGATGCATAATTTCGTATTTTACTTTTAGTTGATGTTCAACTATTTAAAAAAAGGATGATGTAGCTATAAAATCTAATTCATATTGATACTGTAACAACTGACCCTGATGGAAATGTAAGATGTAGATGTGTAAAAATCTAAAAACTGAACATATGAAAACAAGCACTTCACCACTATATGATCATAGAAATTTGTAAAGGGAATTGTATTATTTTTATGAATTCATATCTCTGTCATTGGATATATATTTAGACCAATGTATTCTTTTGGGCAGTAGAGTGTTTGCATGCTGCCATGTTGTATGCTGGCCGAAGTACATACAAAGACTCACACTGTGGTTGCCATACTCATTACAGGAGGTGAATAAAACCACATTATCCCAGTTTTGTGTCCATCATTGACCAGTGTGGACGAACACCTGATAGAAGGGTTACAGTAAGATCAAAATCTACACACAAGAGCACAAAGGTGAGAACAACTCTGCAGTTTCAGAACATGCCATGAATGTGACCTAGACTTTTTCTGAACAAAAAAAAATTGAGAAAAAAAAACTTTAAATGAGGCCCATTGCTTTTGTGATGTCACGACAACCAGCAGATGTAAATATATGCACCTATCAGCTTATAGCAGTTAAGCCCCGCTGTTATGACCCTTAGGGTGCAAATGCTTGCTTTTTGCTGCTCTGCCCTCTTGTCTCTCTTTTTCTTGTCCCACCTATCCTTATAGGACCAGAACTGGACACTTCTGATTGGCTACAGCAGGGGGCGCTCCAGCTATAAAGGGGCCTGGGAAAGCAAGATGATGGCGGCTTCTTTGGTTGTTGCATCTGTGCTACTTGCCCTCCTACCAACCAGATCAGACCCAGCTTTAGGTTAGCTTGTCTCAATCAGCCCTTAATGTTATGTCTTATAATGAGTCATGTAACTAAATGAATGAATGAGTGCCCCGTTTCGTTTGCTACTGTTTTCTCCTGGTAGCTGTATTTTTCTTTTCTTTAGAGGTAAATTAGTTGATATGGTTTCTAGCTGGTTTTGGGCATTAGCTCTCCACTGAAGCTGTTTATCTTTTATTATATGTTACTACATTGCATCTTGTAGATGGCTAACAAACAACGCTCTTTCTTCTCTGCTATCTTAATATATGGCCTTTGAAGAAGTCAAGTCTGATTAATAAAAGGAATAAATTTTGCTATTTTATCAGGTTAATGGTCTGGGCATGTTTACCACTGTGTTTCATCACCTCTTCTTTTAACAAACTCTGTGAACGTTTGGGAACTGAGGAGATACTGCTGTAGTTCTGAAAGTGAAATATTGTCCCATTCTTGCTTAACATAGGATTTCAAATGCCCAACAGTTCGGGGTCTCCTTTGTTGTATTTTCCATTTCATAATGTGTCAAATGTAATCAGTGAGTGACAGTTCTGGACTGCAGGCAGGTCAATTTAGCACCCAGACTCATTTCATACAGAGCAATGCTGCTGTATTACA